TATCTCCACAGAATGTGGGTGTGTGGTCACTCTTAGCTTCATTTCTCCCCATAGACCTTACTGGCATGGGTGTCCCTACCAGGAGCTTGTGCTCCAGCCTGCATTGCCCTATGGTTCAGTAAAATTACTGGGCTCTCCCACCACGACCAGGTGGTGACCACGGGAGAGTTATTATTATTATTATTATTATTATTATTATTATTATTTTATTTTTCAAATAAAATGTTTAATTCTAAATAAATGTTTTTATATTTTAGCAATATGAATGGTTTGCATATCACTGATACAGACTTGGCTGTTATACCTCATTTAATGGCATTACAGAAATTAGTGTTAAGAAATCTTCCTTTTATTAGACACGGATATTTCTTACAAGAAGTTTCAAAGAACTGTAAAAATATAAAAAGGTTAATCTTAGTTGAATTAGGGTCTCGAGGAACTTGCAATTACATATCATCTCTGTGCCATTTTTTGAAAAATACAGTTTCATTAGTTGATCTTGTGTAAGAAATGTTATATCTTTATTAGTTATATATATACAAATTTTAAATTTTATTTGTTAAAAATTTTATTTTATGTTTATAGAATTTATCATGGACATTTTGATCTAAATTCTGAAACATTTTGGAGCTCTTTGTCTGAAGCTACAAAGATTGAAAGAGTTTGCTTAAGAACAGACTTCAAACAAACATTAGTTGCTGGAAAGATATATGCATCTGTAGTCAAGGTTTGTGTAATTTTATTGATAATGTAATGAATTATATTGAATTTTATCTAAAATGCAATGAATTCTCATATCAAAGATTTTTTATTGTAAGCTAACACAAAATTTAGAAATTAAGTGGAAAAAGTTTTCTCAATTTATTTTTTTCTTCTCTAAAAACATTGTTTAATTTTTTTGAGTAAATCTCAATTTATTCTGATGAAAATTTATTTTTTAATGAAATATTTGATTTCCAATCTTCAATCTGTCAAAAATAAAATATAAAATCAAATTTTATTTAATTGAAATTATATTATTATTATTATTATTATTGTTTATTGATTTAAATTTAAATTTCTTACAATGGGGACAAATTAATAATAATATAAAAACACACAAATCATAGTAAAATTAACGAAGAAATTCCAAAGATTTAGAGAAAAAGGAGAAGAGCTTAAATAAGGTAATTTTTGACATAACCTCATTCTTCAAATAATCACATCTAAACTCCTCCCCTAATACAGAACATTTTAGTTGGTATGTCACTTGACAGGATTCAAACAAATNTTAGTGGGTTATACTCAGTTCACACCGGTGGCTGTGTACTATGCCGAACCAGAGTCAAGGCATAGCAACCAAAATAAAACTAAAATTAAATAAGTGTGTCAGTGCCTGTATTCAGGAATTTCCTAACAATATGGCATGTATTCAAATATAGTGGCCTTCTGTAGTGTTATGTATGTATTTCTATTCAATTGTAATGTTCCCAGGTTTTTGTGTAGTGTGTGTGGAATCACACACAAACTACACACCTATACAGGAGAGAACAACAGGTAAAATAAGCACCCTATCCATCCTCCACAGATGCCTTATTTCCTGGGCAAGTTCTGTGTACTTGCTAATTTTTTTGGTGCATGTGTTTTGTACATTTCAATGTACAAAACACATGCACTGAAAAAATTAGCAAGTACACAGAACTCGTTCAGGTACACAGAACTCGCTTTGTACATTGAAATGTACAAAACACATTGCAAAAACATTGCATATTGTTGAGTGTTTGAAATGGCTATGTCTATAATGTATGTGATTTTATTGTGTTTGTCAATGAGTGTGATGTCTGGTCTGTTGTGGTAAATTGTTTTATCTGTAATTATGGCTCTGTCGTAGTACAGTTTGTGCATGTTGTTTTCCAATACTGCCTGTGGAATGTATTTGTAGTATGGTTCATGCATGTCTAATAATTTGTTTGTTTGCAAGCTCTTGGTGTATTATATTTGTTACTTGATTATGTCTGTGTAAATAATCTGTCTGTGCCAAGAGCTTGAAACCACATGTAATGTGTTGTATAGTTTCTGGCATGATGTGACATTTTCTGCATGTGTCATTTGTGAGTGTTGTATCTTTGAGTATGTGTTTTCTGTAGTTTTTAGTATTTATGACCTGATCCTGTATGGCAATCATAAATCCTTCCATCTCCCCAAAGAAACATCCCCAATCCAACCAGCTGTTTGACGCAGTTTTGTCAACAAAATCCTGGGCCAGGTCATAAGGATGCCTGCCATGGAGTGCCTTTCGAGCCCACGATTGCTTAATGGTGTCTATGCTTTTTATATGTTGTGTCAAGTCTGTATGTTGTGAGTGTAAGTTTAATGGTGTATTATTTGAGTCTGCTAGAGTTACTGCTTTATGTAATTGTGATGTTTCTTGTTTCCTGTAGAAAAACTCTTGCAGTGACTGTATTTGTTTGTAGTGAAGGTTAACTATGTCAATCAGACCACGTCCGCTATCTTTATGTGGAAGGGTTCATCTTTCTATAACGGATTTAGGATGATGTTGTTTATGCTTAGTAAGTGTTGTTCTTGTTTTTCTTTGGAGTTGCTTGAGATCTGTGTGAGTCCAATGTATAACTCCAAAAGAGCATGTGAGTAGAGGGATGACATATGTGTTTATTGCTTTAACTGTGTTTTGCATTTAGCTGTGTTTTGAGAATGGCATTTAACCTACTTTGGTATTTATTAATTAATCTTTGCTTTATTTGTGTATGTTCCATTAGTTTGGCCTGTTGGAATCCTAAATACTTGTAGAACTCGCCCTCTTCCATGGAATCAATAACGTCTCCATTTCCAAGTGCAAAATCTTCTTTCTTCAGGATTCCTTTTTCTATGTGAAGTTTTTTGCATTTGTCTAGGCCAAACTCCATTTGTATGTCCTTAGTGTATGAATGTGTGATTTGTAGGAGTTGATGAAGTTGTTTTTGTGTGGATGCATAAAGTTTTATGTCGTCCATGTACATGAGATGTGACAGTGTAAACTGTGTTGTTTTTTCATGTCTGATATTGTAGCCATAATGCGTGTTGTTTAACATGTTGGATAATGGATTCAGGGCTAGGCAGAACCAGAGAGGACTCAAGGAATCTCCTTGAAAAATTCCTCGCCTAATGAATATTTCGTTTGTTTGTATGGAAGTGTTACTAACCCTGAGATGTAGTGTTGTTCTCCAGTGCTGCATAGTGTTTTCGAAGAATGCAATGAGTGATGGATGTATTTTGTACATGTGTAGAATATGTAGCAGCCAACTGTGTGGAACACTGTCGAATGCTTTTCTGTAGTCTATATATGCCATGTGTATGTTTCTGTGTTGTTTGTGTGCTTGCCGTAGAATGACTGAATCTATGAGTAACTGTTCTTTGCATCCCCTGTGATTTCTACGGCAACCTTTTTGTTGTTCTGTAAGAATGTCGTGTTCTTCAACATGTTTGTATATTTTGTTTGTGATACAGGATGTCAATAATTTGTAGAGTGTTGGAAGACATGTAATTGGTCTGTATTGTGTGGGGTCTGTGGTTTTGTTGTTTTTAGGTTTCATGTAGGTGATGCCCTGAGTAAGAAATTTTGGCATGTCTTGTGGATTGATGATGATGTGTGTTAGAGTTTAGGCTAGTTCCTGGTGCAGTGATGTAAACTTTTTGTACCAGAAATTGTGAATGTTGTCTAAACCAGATTTTTCCAGTTGTGTGTTCTGTTAACAGTGTAGCAGATATCGTGTACGTTTATTTCAACTCGGGACAGAGTTGGTATGTTGTGCAAGTTTCTGTTCTCTTCCTCGATCCAGCCTGCATGAGCATTGTGTATAACAGCATTGGACCAAAGAGAAGACCAATAAGTTGTGAGTTCTTCTTCTGTTGGTGTGCCACTGTGCTGTGTATCAGTGTTTGTTTTGGTACTGATTTGTCTGTAGAAAAGTTTTTCATTGTTGTGAATAATTTATTTTGTTGTTTTCGTAATGTACATGTTTTGTATCGCTTGAGTCTACGTGCTTTGGCTGAGAGTTTCTGTTTTAGTGTATCGATGTATTCTGTAATGTGTGTGTGTTGATTTTCTTGAAAATGTTTTTGAGTTGTTTCATTAATTTGGGTGTAATGTTGTATTTAGTGTATTGTGTCAGCCTGCCTAATTGCTGTCTAATGTCATTTATTTGTGTTTCTATTATTCTCTGCCAGGTAGGCTTGTGATAGAATTGTGTTTTGTGTGTGTGTGTCTGTGATTGTATTTTCAGTCCATGGTGTGTCACTACTGTGACTGCCCCAGCATAAACTAATGTATGAATATCTGTAAGTGTAGAAATTGAATGAATGTAGTTTGGTAGTAAGTGAGTGTTTACATAATGTAGTGTTTTTCCTACTACCTTTGATGTGTTGATTTTTGGTATTCGTGGTCTTTGTGTGAGATTTGTGCCTTATTTGAGATTTGTGTATATTTAGTGAGGGTTTCCTGAAATATAAGTGAGAGTGTATTAACTAAATCTATATCTGTTATCAGTTATGGATGAGGAAGTATCTGTAGTATCATTAATGGTAGTTGTTGTATGTGTACTATTATCAATGCTTGTTGCTGGATTATCCTGACAGTTTACGTGATCTTCATTAATGTTAAATGTTTCTGTCTGTTGATGTATTTGATCGGCAACCTGTTGTTTGATAAGTTCAAGTGTTGAGATATTTTCCATAATTTGGACTTCAAAGAAGCTCACGTAAAAGTTCACTAACACGCTCAACTGCAAGCAGCGCCCCCCCGAAATTATATAAGATATAGAGATTAAAAGAAATGCTCTGCTCACTCATATTTTGAAGTTAAATCGAAAACATTTCAAAATGACAATGTCTGGACGTAATGAACTGTTAAAAAATTTTAAAAATTCATTTTAATTTTTAAATAATAAATCACTTTGCATCATTGAATTATACTGTGTTCTTGAACTGTAATTTAATTTAGCATATTTTATGTTGCTTCTTTTTGATGTTTGTATCTATATTTAAAATTTTGTTCATTCATTTGTTTGAATAATTATGTTTATAAAGTTTAATTAATTAACATTTCAAATTCATATTCTTGGTTCAAATGACTGTAGAGTGCTGATGCAAATGTATGTTCAATTTAAAAAACTTGTTTGAGATCTGAAGCTGTGATGTAAACAGAAAACTCTCAGAAATGTCTCAGAAAACATTTCATCTGTATTAAAAAGTTGATTCCTTAACTGATTTAACATCCTTAGTTTTTTTTTAAATTAAAACGAATTTTAATTGTTGGTTTTCAACTTATATTCTGAAAACTGGCAGCTACATTATGAATTCAGTGTAAGCAAACTTTTATTTCTGGACTACATGATTTATATTAATTCTAAATTGTTTAGTTTAGTTTCTTGCTAAGGCATGACTAATATCTATTCAAACCGTGGTAAAGAATTAAAATATAGTCTTATAATAGATGAAAGTCCTGGCAGTATGTATGTATGTATGTATTTATCTTAATAAATACAGCTGATCCTTTTCTTTAGCATATAAAAGAATCTTAATCCTTCCAGGCAATTCCATGTTGACTTCATAATATATAATGGCAGACAATGAAAATTTCATTTTCAGTGCAATTTGTTTTTATGCAAGTTAAACTTTATAATTCTCTATTCTCATATCATCTTAAGATATGAAAATACATGATTGATGAAATAGGAATAATCAAATTACTGTTTCTTCAATAGTTTTTTTTTGTGTTTATTGATTATACTTGTAATGTTCTTCACTCTGTTTTGACTTCAATATATAACTACTCTTGCCACTGAATTTCATTTGTATTAATCATATGACGATGGTTCAACTTCTGTCCAGAATTCGGTAACATTAATGGAATTGCATCTATTACATAGTCCCATTTGTGAATTTTTAAATGTTATAATCTATTTGAAATTTCCAACATTATATTCAAGAAATTTGAGATTATAAAAAACAGTCACATGATATGATTGAATTTTTGAAGTTTTTACTTTACTGTTTCATTGCTTAGTTATGAGACGTCTGAGATTTAGCACATCAACTCTACTCTTGTTCTAGGGGAAATACTTTATAATAGTATATTTAATTATTTATTTATTTAATTCTAATATTTGAAATAAAATATGATTATATATATATTGTAAATATATTTTCTATTCTCAGCTTTCCAATTTATCATCATTTCATATTCATGCTTCAATATTCAATCACAATCAGCTGCAAAGTGTTTTCAATAAGTAAGTTTTTAAATTTTATCTAGATTTATTTTCATATTTGTTTAATTCATTAAAGAAATAATTTTTGAATAAAAAATTTTCACAACAGTATATGAAAAGATTACAATGGTGCAGAAAAAGAAATAAAATCACACAAACATAATTTAAATTGAATAAATGAATTTTGGCATATTTTCTATTTTATAAATGAAAAAATGGTATTCTGAAATATGGTTGACTTGTGAGTGATGTTGACTAATTTTTACATACCAGTGGCGTGCCATGACATTTGATGATAGGGAAGCTGTGTTTCTGTGAGAAGCTGACTTCCAGGGGCAATCAGTCAATGATGGTCTAGGACAGGGGTCGGAATTAGCGGCTCGCGAGCCACATGCGGCTCTTTGCATAGACGTTTGCGGCTCTTCGGACATAAACTCCAATTTCACCTCACCTCATTTCACCACAGCCTTATAACTTATGCCTTTATGAGATAGAGTTGTATGCTGTCTGCACATGACCACACTCGCATTGATCAATATGTGTCGCTTAAGAGTGGTAGCATTTGAAGCATATCTATATGTATAACACATTGAACGTGTGTCCGTCCATCCATGTAACGTTATTCCAAAAACGTCCACTAAAGGCACCCCTGTCGTGTGTCGTATTTCACACATTTAAATTAATATGCGGCTCTCTGGTACTTTTGTTATCTTGTTTTCATGACAATTTGGCTCTTCTCACTTGACAAACTGCCGACCCCTGGTCTAGGGTACATTCGTATTCATTTGTTCGATAAGCCAATAAAAACCGTAGACTTCTCTAATGCACTTTTAATTAATAGATTATCTAATGCACTTAATAAACAAGCAAGTTCAATATAATTACAGTGGTACCTCGGTATACGTCTGCTTTAGAATACATCTAATTCGGAATACGTCCTGTTTGGATGAAAAAATTTTGCTTGGTATACGACTTTTGTTCGGTATACGACATAATTCAATTATACGCGCCATCAATGAACAAGTAGCACTATCGGTGTACAAGACCAGACTAGACGTTCGCGGTGCAACGGTTTATAACTTTGTTAAATTTTGACTGATTTTAATTCGTAAGTAAAATTTTATTATTTTTATTAATCACGAATCACAAAAAGGCAAATGAAAAGCAACAGAAAACTAAAAAAAATGACTAGAATTATAATGGAACTGATGAAAGAGATTGTTGAGAAATACGAAGGTGGCACGCGTGTTCGAGATTTAACTGTTGTTTACCGTATTCCGAGAACGATGATATGGACAATCGCGAAAAATAAAGACATTATTAAATCTGCTAACGTTGCGAAAGGGGTTAAATCAATTTCTAAACAGAGATCGAAGACATTAGATCATGTTGAGAAATTGCTTTTGCTTTGGATAACTGAAAAACAGTGCTGGAGACAGCGTATCGGAAGCAATTATTTGCGAGAAGGCTAAAAAGATACACGCTGATCTCACAAAAAATCAAGCAGGAATTAGCCAGGAAAGCGAGGTGTTTAAAGTTAGCCATTTTTTTTCACGAGAACGGATTAATCATTTTTTCATTACTTCTTATGGGAAAGGTTGGTTTGATATACGTCCAATTTGGTATAAGTCCAAACATCGGGAACGGATTAAGGTCGTATACCGAAGTTCCACTGTACCTCTGTTATATTAGATTCAATAGATTCCCTATGCCCTCTAAATGCCAATTCTTGCTTTGATAACATCTACTAATTTAGATATAATATATCTATTAGCTGTAACTTTGTTATAATTTTCAATATTTATTTCATATTGTTTACTAATGTTAAATTCTATTCTATTTTGATTTCCAAATTGCTTCAATTTTACGAAAGAATTGATGTGAGATTTACGATTTTTGTGTCCTTTGCGAGCTTTACTCAAATTATTTAAATCATCAAAGCCATTCTTATTCCACACACTAATTTTATTTGAAAATAGTAGACAAGGCCAACAAAACAATTTTTGCATTTTTATGTATCCACAACGCCATTTTATGTCTTCATAAATTTTATTGTTGATGTATTTATATTTAATTTAGGCATTGGTCTTTCTCTTTTAATAATGTTTTCTTTTTGATATGGTCTTGAGCCAAAACTTTTTTGAAATAAACTTTTAATATCACAATTACATTCTAAATCGCTAGCCATAATATAAGGGCTAAAATTAAAAATAAAATTATAAAAACTTACTTGTTAAAATAAAATGTGTGATGGATATACAATTATACATACCTGGTACAAAATATTCAATTGTATGAATATACTTTTAAACAAAATTATAATTAAATATAGTTTTGTGAAGAAACATACATAAAAATAGCATAAAATATTCTTTACTTTTTAAATATTAAAACAATCCACGTAGTTAAAATTGTTCCCTACCAGTGGCTCATGGATGGAATCAGAGACGATCTTGGTAGCTATGCAGTGCGTGCATGCCAAATACCGAGGATGCCGATACTGGTCAATGTCAAATGCCTCTTTTGTCGCATCACTAGTATATTTCTCAAAGGACATGACAAGGTTGTTATAAATTTAAACGTTTCTCACCATAGCTGTAAAAATCTAAATTTGTTAAACTTAATAGTCATTCATTTTCTAACTAATTTGTTTTAGACCAGGTGTCCATGGAAATTTCCAAAATTTACAATTCTCATTGAACTGGAAAAATTTCTGTCTTTATTACATCTAATACTAGGAAGAAATGGACCCCACTGTACTCAGCTAGAGATTGGTTCGGTTAAGCTTTTGTTTAAGTAAAATTTTGGCTCTTTCAGCAGGATTTTATTTATGTCTCCAATTCCCTAATCGCTTAATTATTTAACTACTACTAAAGTAGAAATAAGTTGAAACCAGTTACTTTGTACTTGAATATTAGGAGCCTTGGGAAAAAGTGGAAAAAGAAATTTTTATGACAACGATACATAAATTGTAAATTTAAGGAAAATAAATTCTAGAGCTTTTTCTGTACCTTATGCATCTCTCTCATTCATTAAATTTAGTTGTAAATGATGCTGCCAAAGTAACAGTTAATTTTTTAACATTATACAAGAATTGTACACATTTTTTTCTGCATCCCCTTAAAGATGGGATATACAAAATTGTAATATCACTGGTTTAACATTGAAATCCATAAGTAATATAAGATGGGAGAGCAGAATAAAAATATCAAATATTTTAATGGATTTTTTTTTACAAATCCTGTCAACTATACAGAAATATCATAAAAACATACCAGTAAATTTCTATCGGTTGGGTTGAGTTATAAATCTACTCATGATTCACATAATCGGGTGAGGGCTGCCAAATATCTAGCAGGCAGATGGCTAACAGCCCAGAACTGGTCAGAGGTAGAATCATTGGAAGCGTTATGTGTGTAGCTTCTACCAGCTAAACCAGGTGAGGTTGGTGCTCTGTAAAGCGCATGTGCAAATGAGTATAATCTGGCTGTTTGAAAGCTGACAGTACAGCGCTCCCATTATGCCCCTAATATTTGAATATACAATAGCAATCTTATCATTTTTTTCACATGTAGTATAGAAATTTGTAATAAGATACATAATGAAAATAATCGCACAATATGTATTTATTTTTTAGAAAATACAAGGAAAGTGGCGCGCCACTGGTGTGTACTAGTAAAACTGTCAAATTTGTAAGAAATTTGAAGTAACAATGCAGCAATACAAATATTTTATTTTTAACTACTGATTTACTTTTGCTGTCAATCATTTAAAGTGTTTTCAGGAATGAAGAATTCAAATAAAAATTTACAAGTTTTAGTTTTTCTTTCTTTTGAACTATTAATCAATGATATCTTTAGAACCAGGAAAAAAAAAATTAATGTTGGTGAGTGTTTGCTTTAAACTAAGTCATCACAATGCTACTTTTAACCTGGTTGTGGATAGATTTAAAGCCAAAAAGTATATCAATATTAGTTTTTTGATAGTTTTAAAAGTATCATTGAGTAATAGTGCATAATATTCATCACTTGTCATTTTATTTTTTCATTTGAATTCTGCATTCATGAAAATGTTACCAAATACTTTGTTTAATCATTTAAATTTGTTTTATTAAACTTTGTTGCTGAACTATACTTAATACTGCACTGTGATTGCATCTGATAATTATAGTAAGTAAGAACAAAAAAATTCATTTTATTTATATGGTATGTTAGAAATATAAGGCTGAAAATACTAAACTTTAAAGAATTAATTACAGCTTATCAATATTTTCAAAATATTGTTAAACTTAATAATTTGAAAAAAATTAATCATATTTTTTTCTTACAACTGGCTATTTTGGGACATCCTATCCTTATATGAACTATAGAATAAAGTTCATATATAAAATATAGTTCATTGGACACAATTAAACAAGGAAAACAATGATACCAAGATTATTCCGAAAAATATAAGTAGGGTGACTAAATTTAGGATAAAAGACACAGGAAATGGGTGATTTTTATACAATTTTATTGGTTGAAATGGAAATCATTGTCAAAGTTTCAAAATTACCAAAGAAATGCACATAACAGAATGGAAGCAAACAAAATGAACAAAGAAAAATCCCAAACTTTTACAATTAGAAACAGCACATTCTTGATCTAATGAATAAACTGATTTTATCTTGAATTCAAGTACAATATCGTTTTGAAGTTAAGACCATTTACAAAAATACACAATATTTTTGAGACTTTTCTTTATCCATTAACACAACCAGATGTAACAGTTAAATTGACTTGAAGAAAAACTTTATTAAAAAGACAAATAATAATAGATAAAAATTCAAAGTTAAAAACAATATCAATTATTATTTGTCTTTTTAATAAAGTTTTTCTTCAAGTCAATTTAACTGTTATGTCTATGGTCGTGTTAATGGATAAAGAAAAGTCTCAAAAATATTGTATATTTTTGTAAATGGTCTTAACTTCAATACAGAAGATATCCTGAGTCATCATGAAAATACAATATTGTTATCAATATAATCACACCTTTTCCAAGGTGCTCTATTCAATGACTCGTATTTTAGTGAGCATAGTTAAACTGATTATAAATTGATAAGAGCATTGTAACTAGAAATTTTCAGATGTAAATTTTCATGTCTGGAAAATGCAGTTCATGTAAATGTGAACCTTCTTTATTGCAAATTTAAGATGTTCCAATAAATGCAATTGCAAATTACCTAATGGCTGCATTAATGGAGTTGATTTTTTGGAATGAATATGAAAGTGGCATTCTCCAAATTAGAATAGTATGAAAAATTCATTTGTGTAATGAAATAATCATATAATATCAAAGTTTTACCCTCTATTCCATGAGATAGAGAGCTTAAAGTAACTCAAAACCTGGAACAGTAGACAATACAGCAAAAATAAGCCATTCATACTTAAGCACAAGATTTTAATAAAATCATAAACATTTTTTACCTTATTTAGGGGCCTTCATCAGCTAATATTGCCATTCCATCAACCTGAAGAGATGATGTTTAAATCCAAAAAAGCATACTGAATAAAATTTCTTTTGCCAACTGAACTTTGTTTTCTGATGAAAACAGATTTTGTTATAAGACAAACTCTGGTTACCATTTGAGTGGCTTAGTTGGAACACAGATTTTTCTGAATTTACATGATATAAAGTCTGCCATAGTGATTTAGTTTCTAAATTGTCTATTAATTTTGTAGTTTATTCATTCATTTTTTCCACTAAAATTGAAAAAAAAAAGTAATTTATAAATAAATGTGTAGTTTTTATATATTAATTATAAAATATATTTAATTTTAGGATTTCAAGGAACAAAAATGTACACCAAATTTCATTCCAACTGCTTTTTACTGAAAGTAATAACTTTTTAAAACGAGTTTTGATGCATGGAGGAAATATTAGACTGTTACAGGAACTCTGTTATGAGACAACTGTGAATTAACATTGTTACTTAGTGATGTAAATGAACTGTAAAAAGTAAATTGTTAAAATGTATATTTATACATAATTTTAATAAATTGCAAAGTTTTATAATTTTTTACTTTTTTTACTTATTGTAAAATAACATTTTATTTGTATAATTATTTTTTTTNCATTTAAAGTAATACAAATAACAAAATATTTTATTTCAGAAAGAAATTTTATGAATTTTGATAATGAAAGTTTTTATAAATATTTTCTACGGTACTCAGATGAATAGAGCAATATTAGCATAGAAGGATTAATTTTAATTCTAAGTGAGGACAAAATTAGTATTCCCTTAATGACATGATACATTTCCACATTGCAGTGGGTCATACAAGGATTTTACCTGTTTGCTTAGACTGCATTTTATGAATAAGTCTAAAATCATCATAAATTTATATATTCATGTTTTTGTTATAATTTATTTAAATTTGCAAAAGCCTGAATTTTCATTGAATATATTTAAATACCTATTTTCTCAACCAGTAATAAATGTGTCAAAATTTCTACAAATTACACTCATTGAGAAAAAAGTTGCATCTAAATAGAATTTCCTGATTACTACAAAATTCAACAAACAGTTATGTCTGACAGGTACAGTGGTACCTCAGGATACGAAATTAATCCGTTCCGAAACTGAGATCATATCATGAAAATGTCATAAGGTTGATCATCTTTTCCCATACGATTACATGTAAAACCAAATAATTCGTTCCAACGCGAAAAACATACTCAAATTAAAGCCAAGTAATACATTAAAAAAAATAACTGTAGTAAGAAAAACAAATGAAAAATGCGAACTAATGTAACGTCGTATGGTGAGTTTTTGTTCGTATCGTAGAGCAAAAATATGTTCGAATTTCATGTTGTATCCTGAAAATTTCGTATGCTGGGGCGTTTGTAATCTGAGGTACCACTGTATGTGAATGATTACAACTGTGGTCTCATTACATGCCAGATAATGCCACCAGAGTGCCTTAAAATTACTATCCAAGTATCCTATAAAAAGACTTGCAGAAGCTCATTATGTTCAGACTTCTCAGTATACCTATTTAGAGGACTTTCAACTTTAGACTTGCCTACACAATGCAGTCAAAGACATTACACACAGTTAACAGAGTTTGAGAAAGACCATATCATTGGATTAAGGGCCACCATCTGGGCTGTTCTGACCTGACTATAAAGAGGTATTGGGGCAGTGGTTACATATAGGTGCCCACTGGATGCTCCACACAAACCAAAAGAGATGATCATCTGATCATGATAAAAGTACAAACAGCTGCAGTGACACATTTTTGTTATTGTCCAAAGACATGTAAATCTTGTTACAGAACCCTGTTTCTCTACATACCATTGACAAGTGACTAGCAGAGGCAACTTTGCATGCATTGTCAGTTTCATTTGCATTGGTGCTATGATAGAGAAGCATAGACTTCAATGAACTGGTAACATATCATCATTAGTGACAAATCCTGGTTCTGTTTGGAAATGGATAACCATCATGACTATGAAGGTTCACTGGTGAGCACTTCAATCTCATCTTTATCCTTCAGTGGCACACTGCTCCCACTGCTTGTATGTTAATCTGGGGATCCATTTTCTATGACAATCGGTCATTGATAGTTGTGGTACAAGAGACATTGATGGCACAGCAGTATATTCAGGAAATCCTTATCCTTGTGTTGTCTTTCATCACTGGGTTGTAAACATTTTTAATCAATATTTCACAGGTAAACAAAAAAACTAGGGGCATTCCCCTTGAACCTTCCTAGTTTTGTGGGAGTAATTTTGGGAAAAGAAACCTGAGTAACTGTAGATAGTAATAGAAGGAGCATCTGAAAAAGTTAGTCTACTACTGTATATTAAATCAATACATTTCCGTATGTACTACTGATGTGACATGTACCATATCCAGTCTACTTACTTTTGGCCCATGTCCAAGCCAGCTTGTTAGGAGTCTTTGTTAATGGCATCTACAATTCTTATATGCAGGACTCTCATGTCAGGCATTGTTACAGCGTATACGTGATCCTTGACCTACCCATAAAACAAAGTTTAAACGGGTGATGCCAGCTGATGGACAGTCAAAATATGTGGATGTACTGATCAATCCAGCAATCTAGACTGTGTGGCGATCTGGATCTCCACTGCATGATATTTATTTAGAGAAAGAAGTTAATGGCACACTCACTGGTATAGCTATAAGAAAAGAGTTTTGAAGAGAGTGAAAAGGAGCAGATTAGAGACTGAAAGTGGTTGATAGAGTAGTTAGTGGAGAGGGGAAATAGAGATGAAAGATAGAGATTGGAAGTGGAAAAATGGAGTTCTACGACCGTCATGCTGGGTTTCATATATAGAAACAAAGGGTTAGTAACTTATTGTAGAGTAACTTATTCAAGAGCTGATGATTACAAGAAATATAAGGATGCACAAAACAAAATTCATGCACGGTTATTTACTCCACCGCATGATAGCGACAGCCCTTTCAAACATACGCACGTGAAACATGAAATATTGACAGACATTTCATTCACATACCTCCATAAATGGATTTTAGAGAACAATTTAAAACTACGAAGGTTCGAAAAAAGCGCACTATGCATGTTTATTTTTTTAATGCTATAACTTCATAAAAGTGAACACAGAATACCTTTTTTGCTCTCTTTTCTAAAGTTATGATAAGCAAATAAGTTTTGAGTTGTCTTGGTTATAAAAATCGATTAGAGTTGTTCACGCGAGATACGAGCCAGCAAAAGATATACAGACTGTTCAATGAGTTGACTTTATTTCAGCCAGAACGGTCAGTCGGAATGGGAAACGATAACCTCAACTGATATTTATGAAAATATGAGTATCCGGATTGAATTATCTTGATACCTTTATGACAGTCGATGAATATGTTTTTCGCGACGATGTAAATATTTCTAGCGTTCTTACAGCAGGCCTACGTCTATTAGATAATGTAAAAGGTATAGTTTCTGTATGTTCAAATTGTGTGTGTAGCGTCCTTGTAATCCAAAAATGATTCTTGGTAGACGACCAAACAGCAATTGGTTAGGAAAACATTACGGTTTATTTAAAACAATTTTTTATTCAAATGCATTTCGGGTTGGTTTATGTTCCCAACCCCTCTTCTGTGATGTCATAAGGTACTGTAAATCATAAAATTGTGTTGCTATATTTTTATCACATAGGTGTATGACCATTCTACTTCCAGTTAATATGTATTATTCCCGACAAAACGTAAAACTGACAACTGATGTTATCCGGTCTTCACAGAGTAACAGTATACCGACTCTTGTCGGTATACTGTTACTCTGCCGCCGTTAAATCCGCCTCTGATTGAGTAATTACTCAATAATTCAATCTTTGTAGCGTGTTCTATTAGCGAATAAAAAAAGTAAATTTTTCTTTTAAAATCAATTTTTCCAAAAAAATTTCAAAATTTTTTTTTGAAAAATTGATTTTAAAAGGAATATAAAGAAAACCGCACCATTTATATATATATCTATTACTTATAGTAAATTTTTCCTTTCAGACAATTTTTCCCGTTAATCCGAAATATAGGTTATATATATATATATAGGCCTAAATATAATGTAAATATGCATATAATGCGTGCGTATTAACCAATTATGGATATGGATATAATTCAACACATTTCAAACTTTTAATACATGAACTCTGGAAACCGATTGCTCTCTTAAATGAGTGAAATAGAGAAATCGATTAATCTGGATATTACAGTTAATAAAATTCAGAGACTATAACACAAACGGAAAAATTAATCTATCCCATCGTGGAAAATAAATATCTTACAGACATTGATAAGTCAGTGACGTATCCAAGATTGTGAGAATAATGATGCTGCTCCAGAGGGTACAAGGCACGTGTCTCCTGTCGTTTTTTGAAGAATGTTACTCAATTACCTTAGTTACCTAACTTTTTACATCATTGTTTTTTCATTAGCTTTTTAAAATTGTTAAATGGAGGATGGAAAATGGATAATAGATATGTTTGAATTGATAGATTGATTATAAATTATGCAAACTACTGTATGATTTATACTCGGTATGATTCGAAAGGGGGAATAGGAAAAGTATAAAATCATTAGACTACATTTCATATTTCCACTAGAAATTATCGAACTTATTTTGAATTTATATATATCAATAATTATCTTTAATCTATGCTCCAAACTTTTCAACGTATGTTTCCGAGAAATATCAATTTTAAAATTTCTGCTTTTTTCTGTTTGTACAAAATTACTTTCTGCAATTGAAGTCATACGATATGCGTTATTATATTTATTTTTATTTTAAAGTAACAAAACTGATTGCTTTAGTATGAAGGAGTGTTGCAGAGGTATAAGCATCCCCCTGAATACGCCCCTGTAATCAGCGATGATATTTCTATAAAATTCTTCCTAAAATAAGCTCTCAAACAACTATTGATAGAATTCAATAACTTGAGATCTTATAAGTAGTGCGAAGTTCCCCAGAGAATCTTTTACTTAAAACATTTTATCCAATTGTAATTGAAACGCTAAAATCATGACATGGAAAGATCCAGAATATTTTCTCAAATTTCAAAATTTCGACCAGATGATAATTTAAGGCTATAAAAAGGAGGGAAAATGTCCAGGAAAATGATGATGAAAATCATAGTTAAAATAAATTTTAAGTAAAAAAATATATTTCAGGATATCGTAACTATCTCGGAATGTCGATTAATTAATTAATTAAGATATAAGCACTCAAGTAAGAATTATACAAAATTATTAATTATGCAGTTACTACAAAACTGCGATTATTAAGCTTTTATTTTCCAAATACTCTAATGTTAAAATACGCGTTATATATTTTCCCAAAAGTTAAAAAATAGCTTCACCTATGACACTTCTTAAAAGTAAAAAAAAAAAAAAATTATTGTATCTGTCGCTTATTGTTACTGTAAATAAACGGAAGATTGGTTAATGTTTTTTTCTTTAATTTAAATTAAATAAATGCTGATTAATTTTCATTTTAGTAGAAGTAATTAAAGTAATTCGGCTAATATTCTATAAAATTATACAATTTTTCCGTCATAAAACTTTAAATCTCTCTCACTCTCTCTTTTTTTTTTTTTTTAAATTCTATTTAAATAATACATTCTACTTTTAAAGAAAGATTTATTCCAAAAGAAAAAGAACCCTATTAGCATAGGACTTATGAAATTGTAAATTAAACTTTTATTTTAATCCGGTTTGGAACTCACGAACTGTCTACTTGTGATCTAATACATACACTTAAGCGAACATGTTTCATTTGGCTGTTAACAGATGGTGATGCGTGCACACATTTGAGGGTTTTATAAAACCACTAACCTCATTCTTTGAAATTAAATTCTCAGTCTTCTATCTCTGTGTATTTACTAGAAACTGTTCGATAGCCTATATATTTGAGTTAATCAACGTTCATAAATTCTAATTAAATAATATAAGAACTGTAAAAATCCTATCTTAACGGGAGAGAACTGCGATGTAGAAGAATTGTGACTGTAATATAATATTAATTATAAATGAAGTATTATGTTTTTTGTTATTTACTGTAAATTTCTGAGAATAAAATGTTCATTAAAATTGAATAAGATATTCTGCTTATTTTTTTTAGCATTAAATGTTTTGTTAAAATAATTTAGATTATAAAATAAAAAATGTTAACAATTACTATACTGTACGTACCGTATGTATTTAACAAAGTACAGTAACAGAAGTAAAAAATAAAGGAAGATAAAAACTCAATAGAGCATGCAATATTTCGTCTTCATAATAATAATAATGTCACTTTTCAATCATTTTTAACGCTGAGTTGAATCAGTCAAAAGAAATCAAGATGCTTGACAACTCAAGAAAAAATAAATATTTGATTTATTCAGTTATGTAATTTGATGACAAATACACAGAAAATTTCTTTATAAACAAATAAATTATTCTTTACAGGTTTTTATTTATTAAAAAAATTATAAAAAATAAATAATTTACTTACAAAGTAGGCCTACATAAATTATAAAATTTGTAATGATGCAACAAAATTTACAAAAATTAAATAAATAAATATGTTTTAAATTAATCTAAATCTTTATTAAAATGTATTACCCTACATAATTGCAGCTGGAATGAGTTAAATTTAAGTCCTAAACTTGTTTTGTTAATTTTATAGAATTCAAGGGTGTATATTTATTCAAAACAATTTTAAAAAATTGTATGTGTACATATATATATAATCAAAACATCAACCTTGATCGATTTTTTAACGCGTCATTTGATATATTTACACATGTCAATACATCCACTCGGATTAATGAGTGTTTTAATTCTTAAATTAAAAATGCTTTACAAGATTAACTTTTCATGTAAAGTTTTAGCATTTGTTCAACTTTATGTAACGTAGACGACAATTGGTTAAATAATTTATAAAGCGCTGCAATTATAATAAATATTTAATAGCAAGATACACAACTACTACACCAGATAGTAACTAGTGACAGCGCCGATGGTACAAAGTGTCAACATTCAGAACTATTTGGAAGTCCCATCGTACACTAGATGCGATTGGACAATTTTTATATTTGTTAGCCGACTCGCTATTGGACAAATTGTCGATACATTTCCTACATGTGACTGTTACGTCATCGGCTACTGAAACGAAGGGAAAGGAAGATGGAAGAAGGAGGGCTCGTATGTGAGTCAGTGTTAACGATACCTGTTGAGTTATGGAAACTATCAACGACTTAAAATATATTTTTCGAAATGTGTAGTGAAAGTTACCGACACTTTTAAACGCTTCTCGAGAATGGGGAATGTGGAAAGTACGACGAATAAAAGCGACGTCCAGTTGCGGACGAAACACGACCAGATTAAAATGCCGATGCCAGAGAGAAGCGAATTGGAAAGGAGATTCACTAAAGTTCTGGTGAGTTCAATTAGTTCTTTTTACTTTTTATCATTTGTTCGTTCGGGTAGAGGACGAAACAAGCAAACAAGCAACAAACACACAAAAACATCCGGATATCAACAAGTCGGGACCGACAACTTTTCGGACAGTTCTCGATTTCGCAAAACTTAACTTTGACAAAAGTCGTAAAAGAAAGTTTCTATGCGTTGTTTTTCCAATTGATTTACGTTTTAAAACTGATAAAATCTAAAGAAAATCTTTTAACATAATAGATCTCTTCGCAGATAAGATTATAAAGTTTTTTTTCTTTTTCGATTAGCTTTGGAGTGTATCGTGTTAGGTTAGTGTTCTTGAATCAGTTCACTTCGATAACTGGAGAAAGTTGCTTCTTGTATAAAAACTTAATTATTAATTAATTAACATATTTAATAATTTTATTATAAATAGAAAATTAACTGAAAGTTAAAACTACATTCGTGTGATTGACTGATGAAGTTTAATCATGTTGATTTTTCACATTTAATGAGTTTTTTCATTTAGATGTATTATCGATCAAAAACTAGTGTTTACTATTATAATTTTGATTAATTTTAATTAATTCACTTGTCGGGGAATTTAAATAAGAATCTTGTATAGGATATTCAAAGTTTGTGTGTATATGATAGTTTTATAAATACATTCAATGTCAACTATATAAATTTAAAATCTGAATATATAATGAAATTTAGTGATGAAATATACTGTACAATAATTCTAAAAAATTAGAGAAATAAAGAGAAATATGCATTGTCATCTTTGAATAAAAGTTGAGTAAGCAGAAATTTTTTTCTTACATTTTTAGTAACAAATATGCAAGATCATTGGCTTGTTAATTAAAATTTGTTAGCAAGACGTTATTGTGTATTCCAATAGGTTCTAAGTAGAGCAAGTATTGTAATTAAATTTAAACTAGATTGAATTTCAATTTAACAAGGAAAAAACTATAGCATTGTTATTGATAAACATCCATAATAGTTAAAATAGGGCATGGATTGCTGTAAACTATTGGAATATGTGCAGTATGATTTGAAGTTTATAATTTTAAATTTCAAACATATTTTCCATTTTGGCATGATATATAGGATTTAAAAATATTTCCATTATATATTTATTTAAACAAATATAGAAAAATATGTATTATCATGCAAAGGGACATGAAATAGTTATAAAATTTTGAAATATATATGTATTTTTTTTGTCTCAGATGTCAACATATTTGCATTACATTTTTATGTACAGTATATACTATATTAATCTATATTTATACTCATTTTACTTAACATAGAACTGTATTAAGTAAGTTTAATAAATGTTTCTCATATATTAATTTGAGAAAGATGTGTGTTTAACATAAATATTTTAAATTTAAACTAGAATGAATTTTTAAAAAAGTGTGTAGTGGATTAGTAAATATAATAATCAAAATTAAGAATGGTATGTTGTAAAATTTCAGAATATCTGTATTTAAAAATAAAATACTTAAGCATTTGAATGTAAATATTACCTTAATATTCTAATATTAATTTAGGAATGAATATTATTTGTTTGAATTATGATAATTCATTAGAAAATTGAATATAATAATATCAGAGAAATACTTTCCAAACTCTTTAAATTAATAATAGCAAATTGTTTAATTAGAATTGATGAAATTACAGGATATTACTTAATTATGTTAAGTAATTGCTTATAAAATGAAAGTTATATTAAATTTCCAAGAATGATTTCATATATATATTTCCAAAGTGTGATTCATGTATATGCGTATATATGGTATTACAGATTTTATAATAAAGTTTCCACATTTTTACACATCTTAATTATTTAAGTACAGTGGAAGTTTTCTAAAACCTACAAGATTTTAATTATATATAAGGAATAGGATACAAGAATAACTATAAAATCTCAACTTCCTCTTTTACTTGTAAGGCCCCTGGGGTCTGAGTTTGGTTGCACTCCTTGAACACTTATTTTTAACTACTGTTAGCAAACTCAGCCTAAAATGAAACATTATATACTTTTAATATAATTTTCAAACTAGAAAAATTTTTTTAAGAATTACAGTTGACAATTCAGAACAAGCATTATATTCCCTACTTCTATTTTAAGTAAATATAAATTGATACTTGTGAGAACTCTTTACAATAAGGAGTTCAAAGTTTTGTAGTATAGATTATCCAGAATAGTTTACACAATAAACATTTTATTTTATTTTATTTTTTTTTTTAACTTCCTTAACGGCATAATTGGCGCAAGGAATTTTTATATTTTGTTAACTGTTGCGGTTATTAGATATTCATAATTTATCCCGTTTGCACGTCTGTAGTCTATTGAATACGCGTGATGTATTATCATAGTAGGCACGTGTTTCGCGGTATTAATACTCCCACAGTTTTCTCGGATGAACGAGTCGCCATTAGCTAACTGACTACGTCTATCTGGATAAATTTCAATCTTCCGGTTGATATAGGAGGGAAGGGCAGAGTTTCCTCGTTAACTTTCAGTCTCGTTCCATTGTTTGATGGAAAGGGGAAGGAGGTTGTATATCCAGTCTACAAATGGAAAGACGACACTATTGGCTACACAGCAATGGATATTATTACCCCGTTACTAGCATTTATGAGGATTCTGTTTTATTACAGCTACGTTTATGTTTCGGCTCACTTATGGTTATCTTTTAATGCACCGTGTAAGAAGGAACTTATTGGCGTTTTATTGTATATATCTAAAATAATCTTTGTTCATCTCGCTCCTTCGATTATTTTTATTTAAAGGGGTCAAGGACGGATTCCGTATTAATCAAAAAATGCTTTCGGTTACACATGAATTTAGTTCTACCTTCTAAAGAGTTTTATATTTTCTCTCCCGATATTCTAAACGGTGCTACAAATATATTTAAGGAGTGATTCTAATTCGATAAATGGAGTAGTATCACCCGCAGTTAATATTATTTTCGTCTTGGGAGATCCATGAATGTTTAATGGTAAATAAAGAGTGCTTATAGAAATTTAAGGAAGTGTGAACTAAATAATTCATGCGGAATCATTATTAATGCCTCTCCGTGCAAGAATTCATGAATAAATAAAGATACACCAATCCCTTTCCAGAAAAGAGAGATGCTACATCAGTCGGAAGTCATTTAATGGGTTTATTTTAAAGGTAAATGGCGTGTGTGGTTTAGAATATTTGTTAAAAATTTGAAAGTTCAGACAGATAGATTTATGAGCCAAATATGAGCGAGTGACTTTTTCCAGTTTCTAACATTAATCATGGTAGGAAGGCATTAATCTGTATAGAGTCGTCGGATGTAAGTGGAGATATGAATGTTACGCAACTGTTTTATTATTTACATCACATCCGGGTGTGTCGAAGAACAAGTAAGATTTAGTGATTCTACCGTAATTATGAGTACAACGAACTTTGATACAATGGATTCCCGGATGCTTGGAAGAGTTCCTTTTGTTTTCCAAGACGTTGGTCATCGTTGGTCGCGAATCACTGAATGATTGCGAAGAGTTACGCTACGTCAACGCCAAAATGAGCTTGAGAATATAAATTTGAACATAGACACATCGAGGAAAGAAGAAGAAGAAAAAAAACAAAGATTAGAAAAGTTAGTGACCTAGTTTCTCTGGTTGAAAGTAGGCAATTTGTCAATTGATGTCTTCATTTTATGGGAATCTATTCAGTGCACCAAGTAACTTTTTTCCTTTTCTTAGTTACAGTAGTCAGTCACCCTAAATGGTAGACTTGACTTCCCTCTCGTTCCAAGCCTGTTTTTAGATAGAATAAAAATATAACACGAGGAATTTTTCTTCTAAAAGCCATCTGCTGTGACCCATATTAGTGACAGTTCATCTTTAGATTCAGGTATAGTTCCCAACTGTAAAAACAAAGGAAAACGTTTCTCTAAAATAGGATAGCGAACGTAATATAAGAAGTCATATTTTCTTGTCTAAATCCTGGCATGAGAACATTAGTAAGGATTCACTTTCGAAATAAGATTATTTATCTTGTAAATAAGTGATTGTTTTCGACGGATTTATAGCATTAATATTAAATTATATAAAGAGTATAGATATGTAATAACATTCAAAGCACCTACGTATATCAAATATTTATCATGTAAACGGGGAATTTACCTATATTGATTCCCCGCAAAACTCCACCCTTTTACCAAACGCTGTACACGTTTTTAGTTCTGACTAATTTATTCTCGGACGCCTCTCCCCTGTAGATCGTGATTCGAATAGAATTTTTTTCCTGTAAAGAATTTGATCGAAAATAAAAATCTAATTTTCTTCAATTTATCGTAATTCCTTTACGATGAACACGCAACGTCTAACCAGTTCTACAACTTTTGTTCGGCCCGCTAACCTATATAACTTCGCATGACACTTTCTCTAAATACAGCATCTACTCGCGAGCGTTTCGTACAGTACATACAGACTTTCAAGGGGGAATGACCTTCCTCTTGAAGTATAGACCTTGAGACTGTTGCTAATTATTTCACGGCTGTGTGTCTGTTTTGGGAAATGCGTCTTTTCCCCTTTCTCGACTGGATTTGTGTTTTAGATAGCCTAAACATTGGGACGATGTTTTATTGCTCGAACGTGCGAGTCCAATGGTGACTGTGTTGAAAAAATTTAATCTACAAGCCACCGCTGCTTTAATCGGGCCTTCCAGAAATGGCGACATCCGCATACGAATAGGGTTGTCTGGAATGTCGGAGGAAGCAAAGTGAATCCCTAAAACGGACCCCTTATCGAGAGTTAAGGTTAAGGTGGGTGCTCACCTGCACGTGTTAGTAACACCCACTTTGATGATCTGTTTACAACGGTTGGGTGGAGGAATAGCGTTCAATTTTCCCGTGATTAAATCTTTAAAAAGTTCTTTGTCCAGATTTTGTCAAAAAAAGGGGGGCACTAGATGCCACTTCATCTTAAAGGAAATAGCTGCGGTCGGATAAGATAACCTCCATAGCTCGATCTACACCTATCTCGGGGGTGGTCCAATATGACGTCAGAATGTCTCACCCATGTACTCGGCGGGGGAGTTTCCTGACCGATCGGCCTGCTCTTAATCAGTTGTCTCACCTCAAGCGGCTGTCTGATGTCATCTAAGCAATTAACCCGACAGAGAATATTAAACAAATGGCGTCTTTACAATTTTGAAAGGATAAGCCTTATCCGTCAACCATTAATCAGTGCGTATCGTGAAAAATTAAGTTTGTGAAACTTATCATCAACAATCTGGGATTATATTTCTTTTGTGTAACCTGTTCAATAGCGTAATCTGGAAAACCTCTTTGTACACTTATCTAGGGTGTATTATACAAGTGGCAGAGAACTGGTTGGTACAATTCGGGTCGTAACCCCTCTCTCTGTCTCATGATCCGTGGGCGACGATTGATATTCGCATCCACCCAGATTCAAGGTTAAAGAAAACAGAATTGTTCTCTAGGGGAAATGCCCAATTGTCACAGGAAGAGATATAAACGGGGGCGGAAAAATCGATATTGCTGACACAAATTTGTGTAAAACGATCCACCGATAACCGATTAAGGAGTCCCATTAGTGCCCAGTGAGCCATTTAGGACGGAAATAGCTCATCACTGTCACTTTTCCATCATTGTACTAATCAATACAGACATAAAATCGTTCAGTAGGACGCTCACCGTGTTATTATCCTAGTACTGTCCCCGATGCCCTGTTTACTACCTTTATTACGTCGATATGCTAAAAGGCATCTCCCCGATTTCACACTGACTCATTTAATTTTCTTGCCAGCCTAATTTAGTTATTTGTAATTATTGTCGATATTTTGACTTTTACCATCTTTCGAGCGTCACGATTGCCAGTTTTGTTAGAAAACGGGGACAACCACTGTTTTTAAACAACAAATTACAAACAAATTTGTTCCAATAGTTAGAGGTTTGTCTTTTATTCACATTAGCCGACTCGTACCCAGTGGTCACTGCTTTAGAATTATAAATAGCGACTTGTTTATCCGAGTTTGAAAATTTTTCAATTGGAACAGATTTTCGCATAAACTTTTTCTCTAGTTATATATAAACTGGTAAAAAGAAAGAGATATTTAGAATAGAGATTTCTGTTCTATATATATATAGAACAGAAATCTCTATATATATGTAACTATGTAACTCTATCTATGTAACTCTTATTATCTATATATATATAGATAATAAGAGTTACATAGATAGAGAAATATAGATTTTATAGATCTATCTTTGCAAGTTTTCTCAATTTTTTTTTTCATTCGTGTATACTGGAAATTACGAGAAATTTTTATGTAAAATTTATAAAAAAATAGTTTGTTGGGTACATTTAGGGCCGGATTTAGGTATTTTGAGGCACCTTACCAACCCTTTACAATTTTAGAAGTCAGTCATAAAATGAAGAGAATTAACATAAACATATTACTTAAATACTACACACAATAAAAAGTAAAGTATATTTTGTTGGTTTGTAAGAAATTTTATTACAAAATTTGACTCCAATTTTTTTTTGTAGAAATTTTGAGCCCCCTTGGAACTCGAGGTCCAAGTTACATGGCTTGCTTGTAAATCCGTCCCTGCGTACATTTCATATGTACAGTAGTTGTATATTTCATATACGGTGTGTGCAGTACAATATATATTGGATTGTATGCTGTGCTGTATATGAAACATAAAATTATTTATGTAAATTGCTTCCATTTCTTTTGCGAATCTCAAAAGAAATGGAAGCAATTTATATATAAGATTGGAAGAAAATAGAATTTTAAGATGGTGTTTAGTATAATTGTATCATGTTAATAACTGGTTTACTTTATGCATATAAATATTCATTTAGTCAAAGCATGATTTATGTCTTTGTTATTTTAGAAAGACAAAGTATTTTACCTTAAATTTCCTTCACTTCAAACTAAAGCCGAAAACTTTAAGCCTAGTAATGTCAAGTTGTCAGTTATCGTAATTCGCAACGTTTCCCGATTCCAGAAATCTTGTTAATGCCGCGTTTAGAAAAGAAAATCTTCACGATTCATCTCTCAAATCCCCATTTTCTTATTTTTGTAAAAAAACAAAGACGTCAGAAGTTTCGACACCTTATCAACTAAATGTGACAGAAGCGACCGGTTACTATAGCAACGGCACATCGTTTTCTCGTTCGTCTCCGTGACAACAGATCGCTGTCGTCTGCTTTTTTCCCAAATGCGGACATGTTAAATTTTTATTTTTTCAGAAAAATAAAGGGAAAGTATTTTACGCTTTCTTTTCTATTGCAATAATCTTTATTAATTGTTTAATTAAAACGTAATTGTTATCTTTAAATAAGTGAAGTTTGTTGCTTTGAAAATATTTTTTTTTAGATGGCGTTGCTCTCTACAAAGATTGTAGTAAAAAAAAATATTTCGCTTTTTGTTAATTTTAAAAACCACTTTTGTCGTAATTGCCGTTTAAAATTTAAATTTTTTAAAAATTACTACGACGCTGATGTCACTTCCTGTTAAGTTTTTAAATGTAGTAAGATGTGACGTCAGTTTACTTTTCTCATAGACGAGAAAAGATACTTATTGTCTTTTGTGGAAAAACATTTGGTTGGTTCTTTTCTAAGAAAAACGCTGCCGAATTTTATTTGGTGAGAACCATGCAATCTGATATAGAAATGGAGTGTATAGAAGAGTAAAATGATCTTTGACTATGCAGAAATAGTAAATGATCGTTACTGACACGGCGTAGCTTTCATGTGCGTTTTTATAGTAAAATGTTAGTTATTTTTTTCTTTCCTGTAATAAAGTTTAGATTGAATTAAAAAAGAAAAAAAAACGTATTTCGGTTCCCAAATGGTCAAGGACTTGTAACTTTCTTCGGTTCAATCGTTTATTTGTAAATAAAGGAACTCACGTCATCGTTATTTTCGTCTTGAGACGTATTCACTCCATCCTGTGTATAAATCATCCGTTTTCGACGTCATCGACATTTCGAAATCTCTTATCAGTTTCTCCTTTATATTTTTTAATTATATACATTATTCGAGTGAAAATTAATAATTCTTCTACTTTACATATTCGATTATTTTTAAACCGAGAACTTAAAATTTTGAATTCCGTCACGCGTTACTCATTTGTTTACTTTTTAAAATGGCGGAAAATCACAGTAACTTTTAAAAAAAGTCGAAATTTCTGATCTGATTGGAAATAGAATTTAATAGTGTGAGAAAGATAGAAGCAAGATCACATTCTACAAGTGCCTTTCTTCGATCATCAATGAACGGTTATATGAAATGAAGTGGGTTTGTCGCCACACTTCCTACTTAGCTAACTTCGCTGACTACTTGAATGTCTGGCACAGCTAATGTTTAATCCATTCACAGTCCAATGATTGTTTTCGGTTAAGTCGACCTTGTTAACGCTGTACAGGTGACAGTTTTCGCTAGAATAACTCATTCTAAATTACATAACCTTTAGCAACACCTGTCCTCTTTAAAAGGGCCACCCACGTTTCTGAACCGTGATTTAAACTACAATCATTTATACTTTATTGTACATTAGAGTAGTTAGTTAGGTGAAAAGCTGTTAAAATGTATATTGGAATGGATGCTATTAGAGTGGAAGTGAATTGTTTCATGAATTGCTCCCATAAACGCACTGTTCGTAAATGGAAGCATTGTTTTGCATCTAACTTGTCAGTCAATTAGTTACACCTTTCGTGCGTTAATTATGAAATAATTTCTGCGTGTTTTCCAATGCCATTTTGATTTTAATATTTAAAAAATTACCTGAGTTTGAATATTAATTATAAAATTATGGTTTGTTATTATAGATTTGCATTTTTTTCTCCTCCCCCGCAAGACCACCTGTTAGTCAATTGGACCATACTTTATTAATGCCAGTTGCCTCACTCATGCATGACTCATGTGTACAATGAGTAGAAAGATATTGGGTGCAGATTTTACATTACTTCCTTCCTTTCTCTCCTGAGCACAATGGTTTATAACTGATATAATTCATAAAATTTCCTGATGTCTTGATGAAGACATATATGCAGCAGTTAGTATCATATCTTAATTTGGTATTGCTTATCTGGTGTAACATTTCATCACAAGGACGCATCTGGATGTACTGTATTTTACATGTTTTACAGATTTCTTATATCTGGAGATAATTTAATATATACATTATTTAAACTTTTAACATTACTGTATATATTAAACTTTTAACATTTAAACTTTTAACATTACAAGATTTTTTAAAAATGTTTTTAAACAGGAAGAATGATTAATATATAAATTGAGATCTTCTACATGGTTTTGTTTTTAAATTTGAAAATAGATATACTGTATTGTAATAAATTTCTAACAAAATTAATTAACTAATTAATTTTTTTTAATACTGTAAGTTAAACACATATTTAAACATTATTTTAAGTAGTTTAATTAAAGATTTTATTAATATTTTAAATTCTTTATTTACTATTAATGGTTACAAAAGTAATTCCATAGGCAAGAAATACCTCTTCTAAAAAACAATAACACATTTTTTAAAGACAAAAAATAAAATCATTTTAAAATATAATGTATAAAAAATTATTAATATTAAATATGTAGTAAAATAATAATTTTTTTTAAAAATCATTGTTTTCTCATAATTAAATGAGAAAATTAATTCAGTATACAAGCTTATAAAACTTAAAGTAATGTAGTGTTTTTCTGTACATGTTTGCTGTTAAAGAATACTTTAGCTATTGGAAAAAATTCATTTATTGATCATTTGAATTTATCTATTATTTATATCTTTTATTGAAATTTTCTTATTGAAAAGTATGGTGTACATATTTTATAAGTAAAATTTAATATATATATATATATATATATATATATTAAATTTTAATNATAATATATATCTTAATTTATAATTTTATATGGTATTTAAGATTTTGATTCTGATAGAGATCTTCATAAATATTGCATCTGTTCAAAAAATATATATTTTCATTGTGTTTTTGCTTGTACTACATACATGTTTATTTGCATATGAAAACAAGCTATGCATTTTTCTTTATAGTAATAATAGTTGAAATATTATTTTTAAAGTAATTTTTTTCATTTGATTATTTATGATAAGAATTTTATAATATAGATAAACATACAGATGTAAAAATAATTGAAATTCCGAGATTAAATCTACAAGTAATATATTCTGTAAATTTAATGCTAAGCAATTTTATTTGTAAGCAATTCTTAATCTTCAATCAGAAATATATATATAAATATCAGTAAATAAAATATACATAAATTACAGCAGAATTTAGTAAAATATGTTTTTTTTTTCAATTTTCATTTGTAATTTTAATAAAAGAATAATTTAATACAAAGCTAATATCAGTAATATTTGCTGGATACAATCTCTTATTTTTGTAACCACCAAAAAGGGGTTTGTAGGCAAATAAACAAATTTGTTATGTCTTTCCAATCAGACATTCACCAGAAGTCAAGCACCATTCAGAAGACAATTTTAATTTACAAACCTTTATTTATATGCATTTTGGATTGGAGTTTGTACCAATTCCTCCTCAGTATAGGTGTACTCTGTGACAGTTTTGATTTTTTTAGTAATCTTACATCAATTCTGTGAATTAAAATTGTCCTGTAAGTGGTTCTTGACCTCTGCTGAACATGGGATTGGAAGCACTAACAAATTTGTTGCCTACAAACCCCTTTCTGGTGGTTACAAAAATAAAGGAATAATTTTCTATTGCTTGTTACTTTAATACATTGTATGTTATTTATATAGTCTACAGTAGTGTATTTATTTTCATATTCTTATTAATTAATTAAAAACAACTGTTTTAAACTTTTGTTGTTATTCTTTCAAATATTTAATTTAAAAGTTTAAAAAGCTCATTGAACTTCTTTTTTTCTTTTGTGAATATTTTATACATACTGAAAGAAGACTACAGAAAGGTGAAATGTATTAAATTATTTCCTGATTAAAAGTAATTTATACTTGCTTTTGTAAAAAAAATAAAAGCAGCATTTTTTTTTATAAAGCTCTGTCATTTATGCTTTGTGTTGTATATAATTTGTTCTGTCAAATACTATCCAATTGTACAGTAATTTACAGAATTTGTAGTATTGACTTAAACTTGTATTGAATTTTAAATTAATTTATAACTTTTTTTTTTATAATTGTGCAAAATATATGATTGACTACTGTAATATTTGATTGTACAGTAATAAATTAATTGCTTATAAACTGTTTCGTTATTTTAACTTTACATTCAGTCTCAAATATAAAAATCTGCTTTATTTCAGTTACGGTTAGCAGTGAATGTATATGTTGCACTCTTTCTTATTAGAAGCAACTAATTATGATTAAGCGATAACATTTGTGGTGGATCTAATTTTAATTTAAAAAATTTATAAAAGTGTTCAGTTAACAAAGAAATTAACCACATTTAGTAACTTGATAAATGTTAAGAACCACATGAATACTTTTTTCATATTATATTATAAATACTGTACATTTCTTTTTTTATTACAAATTATTGTATTTACTTTTATTTATTACTTAAAATTTATATTTTTAATGGGAAATTGTTTTTGAATGTTATATGCACATATTTTTTGTAATAATTTATATTTATTTTTTAGGTTTTTTATATTTATTTTTCTATATTTTGAATTAAATAATTTTTTTGTTATTTTATTTATGCTTTTTAAAAATTTGAATTAATTGATTACATATATAATTGCTTTCCTGAACTTAAGCTTGTTAATGAAACAACAAAACAAAATGAAAATGTTAAATGAACAGCAAAACAGTATAATTACTTCAAAATATTTACAAGATTATTTATTTTACACTTATTTATTTCAAAGGCTTCTTCAGTTTGCTGAAAATTTCTCTTTGGATAAGCAAAATTACTCTAAATATTTTAAGGTTAATTATACTGTTTTGTTCATTTTGTTTATAATGTTATTGTTGCAAACTTAAACTTCTGTTAACAATTACATGATGTGCAAGCTTTACAATGCTCTATTAACTGATTAGGCATTCTAAATAATTATTATAAAAGGAAAGATAATTCATTAGAAATGAACATAAAACTATGGGATCTTGTTAATATGATTGATTTAAAAATTCATATTTACTACTACTACCTAGTACTGTT